GTGTATGTAGCCTTCTAAGCCCTTTGAGGATCATTTCACCTATTGTACAAAGTCCGTACGAAGTCTTCCGATGTCTGGGCCTGGGCCCAGTCATCGAAATTCCGACCGTAGCCCTGTTGCTGCACTAAGCCATTTAACCAACGTGCTGTCGATCCCTCTAAAAAGGAGGCAACAACTATAACTTCTTGCTTTGGCCTTGTGAGCTTGTGCCTCACATAGGTAGGCACAAACCTCACCCAGGTGTCCAAGTCCTCGTCCTTCTTCCTGTCGCCAGTGAAGGGTTAATGACTCAACAAAGGAATCTTGGACATCCACAACATAGGTTGGATCTGCCCAGACGACTGCTGCAGTGGTTGCATGGCCACTGAGACAGGTTGCTGCACGCTGTCGGGACCTGTGGATCCCGAATAACGTTTCGACACTTGACAACCGGTATATAGCCAAGTTGTGCACGACAGATAAATCTGGAGAAAGGAGACAAGAGAGAGAAAAAAGACAAAGAACTAGGACGGGGCCGCGGGAAGGAATGATGCCCTGGGCTGAGTACCGCAGGGTGAAGGACCCGACAATGGCAAGCAAGTGAGTGACAGGACGTGGGCGCATAGGGGCATAGCATGGGGCCAGGAGGGTCGGTTGAACTCGACATGGTAAGGGCGCAAGGGGCTAGGAACTAAGCAAGCGAGACGTGACGGAAGTCAGGAGGATAGTGAAGCCGAGAGGTGGACAACCCTGGTAGCCACAGGACAATAGAGAAAAAGGGCCCGACGTGGGGGTCACCTACGACAATTAACGGAAACCACGGATTGGAGGCCTTGCGGCCGAAGAGACTGTCATGCGCGGAGCTTGAGAAAAGACAAGGAAAGGGGGTCACCATAGGGCAGTAGAAACCAAAAGAAACCGGGACACCATGAGGAAAAGTATCAGGGACCACGTGAGGCTAAGTAAAAAAATTAGTATCCGGGACAAAATATCGACGGGACCACCGACGGGATAAGTACCGGCAGGACCGCCAGTGGGACAAGTACCGGCGGGACCACCAGGCGAGACAAGTGTCGATGACTAGCACTGGACAAGTGGCGGGAACATGAGAAGGTCTCGAGAGGAACTGCAGAGCGGCATGAGGGAAAAATAATTAAAGCATGATGCACCCTCAAGATCGAGAACTTGACGACCAAGAATATTGGCACCACTAGTGCAAGCACTAGTGGGAGCAAACGGAAAGACAAAACGGTAAAAAAAAGTAAAGAAACGTGAAGGGGGAGGCATGGGAGCAATCCGGAAAATCTCGAATTAGCCTCTCTCAAGAAAATGGAGTCTCAAAATCTTTCCTCCGCGGAAAAACGCAGAAACGATTGAACATGTTTTTATGCAATGTGTACAGGTAGAAGGCCCTGAGGTAACGGAGCAGATCCAACAACAATTCCAACTGGAATTAATGAGAAGATGGCAAATTTTAAAACGCAAGCTGAACTGTTTTCAGACAAATAAAGACATAAGGAAGGCAATCTCGTCCTTCCAAGGGGACTGGCTAAGGGGGGAAGGAGGCGGATGGGTAGCGAAGATTAAGTGGGGCGGCAACAAGGAAGATCAACAACACCTGGATTTGGTAGAATGTAGGGACTACCGTTTGAGCTTCAACGAGTGGACAGCCATTGATCCATCCTTCCCCCTCCGCCCCCCGTCAAACTTCCCAGATCCTTTCCCTCCACATCCGCTCTCTCTGATTGAAGCAATTAACTGAAGCATAGACAGACGCGCCCCATGACTGTGCATGCAAACACCTAGACACTTGGAAAAAAAAACAAAAAACAAGAGAGAGTAACAATCTGATACAGCAGGGATAACATGGCTGCATGGTCGCAAGGGGACCGTTCGACGAAGGGCTGGGTGACAGGAGGACCCCCTGGTGCCCCCCAGTGGCTCCTCCCGGTCCCCTGACCGGATGAAGGGTTGAAGAAGGAGAAGGGGATCAGCTGGACTCCTGCTACTGGAATGCAGACACCTAGACACTTGGGGAAAAAAAACAAAAACGAGAGAGAGTAACAATCTGATACAGTAGGGATAACATGGCTGCATGGTCGCAAGGGGACCGTTCGACGAAGGGCAGGGTGACAGGAGGACCCCTTGGTGCCCCCCAGTGGCTCCTCCCGGTCCCCTGACCGGATGAAGGGTTGAAGAAGGAGAAGGGGATCAGCAGGACTCCTGCTACTGGAGTCCAAAGCAGCCAATACTGGCAGGTTTTTTTTTCTAGTTACTGTTCCATAAATCGTTCAAAAAAGGAAGGGATTAAAGCTGGTGTGACTGCATTGGTTGCAGGGTTGCAAGGGGACCGTTTGAGGAAGGGCTGGGTGCAGGGAGGAGGACCCACTAGTGCCCCCCAATGTTCTTCCCAATACCCTGGCTAGAGGAAGGTTGAAGAAGGAGAAGGGGATCAACTGGACTATGGCGTGTGCAGATTATGGACAACTGATTTGGTGTAGTCAATACTGGAAGGTTTTCCTCTAGTTTTTGTTCTAGAAATCGTTCTCCCAATTTTTTTCCCAACATCCTGCTCAGTCAATCCCCTGTAATCCAGGGTAATCAATGCTGACAGGATTTTTTCTCTGATGTTCTTTGAGTACATTCTGTAAAAGGGACGCTGGACCCGTTTTCCAGCAGGCGATGCTCCCCACCAGTAGATGGAGCCTCTCCCCGGGTGGTAGTGGTGTCTGGTTTTATCAGCACCACTAGCACCGGTGGGGGGTTTTCTTAAAAAATAAAAAAAAATAAAAAATGGAGTCAAAACAGACTTCATGTAAAAAATAGGCCTCCGGGAGATGTTCAGAATATGAGGGGCCACTGTGTGAGAGAAATAGAGGTAAAAGGAGGCTCTCATGGGCATGAGGGAACCATAGTTGCAGTCCGAGATATAACGGACTGCACGATGGGCATAGAGAGGGCCAAATCGAAGAGGAAGGGCCTAGAAAAGGCCTTAACGGTTACTTGACACTTGACATGCTAAAAAAAGAAAGAAAAAGAAAAAAAAAAGGTGAGAGAATGAGACAAAAGGAGTGAGAGGGAGTGAGTGACTTGGTCGTCAGTAGGGACTGTCACAAGTAGGGACTGACAGGCCCCTACTATCCAAAAAGAAAAAAAAAGGAAAAAGAAAAAAACTTTAACGATAAAAAAACGGTCACTTGGGGAGATACATTCGTGATCAGATACATTTTGGAATATAGCGATTGCAAAGGACCTTGATTTTCTCTTGATTTTATATAGAAAATAAAAAAAGATCAAGGCCCCATGCAACCGAGATACAACGGATTGCATAGGGGAAGAGAAACACATGTTTTAGGCGCATCCTATGAATCCCCTCTGGAGGCGGCCATGCGAGGCCTAGACCGCGACCCCGCTGCCATGAAAAATATATATATATATATATATATATATATATATATATATATATATATATATATATATATATATATATATATATATATATATATATATATATATGTTATGCAGAAAAATGTATTGAACAACGTTTCTCGTGTGGTGATATCCAAAAACTGTACTAGATGCGCGGGTGTTCAGACAGTTCGGCATGACTTTTAAGCTTGGAGATCTGTTCGCCTTGGTGTACTTTCCTTGCAGCGGATTCCGTTCGACTCTGTTGCATGAGCACACTGGAGAATCCAACATTGTGGGTTAGGCTTGTTCTCTCATGTGTTTGTCTGTATGGTTTCTCGTTGCTCGACTGGCTGTGTTGCAGGTACGCCGTGCTGCTACCAAGGTTGATCTTCATGTCGTACGATTAGCTTCATGACCTCTATGGCTGCTTCGATGACTGAGAGCGAGACTGTCCTCTATTCCGTTGTGAGAGGTTGGATCCTAGAGGTCTTCTTTGGTTTTCTAGCATGGCGGGTAGGTGTAGTTTTGGGGGAAGGCATTGGTATGGCCTCAAGTTGTTTGGGAGAACTTTCTTCGATTCGTCCTCCTGATGAGTCTATGTGCGGGATAGACGAAACGCGTCGAGGGTTGGCCGCGTGGATGAGGTTTTTAATTGGATCTAAGAGTGTTGTTCTTCGTTTTTATCTTGGTGTGCGTAACGGAGCGGATTTTCATTGGTGTATTTATTTTGCTACTGTTTTCATACTCAGCCTGTCTTGCCGGACAGTCTTCCCTTTCTTGATTTGCGTGACAACCACTAGTGCGATTACACACTGGGACGGTGGCCACGTCTTCGACTTGTTAGCTTGTCTTCGTGGGTTTCTTGGGGTAACGGAGGTATTCGAAATTCCTGGCAGGACAATGGATGGATCTATGTCTACATACAGTGGGTTTATCTAGTGGGACTATGAAGTGAATGCAGAGGTTTAGGATTTTGAAACGCGGGTTGTTTTTGCGAAATTTTTAAGTTAGGGTATGAAGCGCGTATTGCTTATATGTGCCCTGCTTTTTTTTGAACCAGATGTACTCATCAGACTAGTCGTTACGTACGATGATGAGTTGGGTACTCTCAAGGTGGTGGTTCGACAGGATTAACTTTGTTCTTTACTAATAACGGGTTTGTGGCTCTCTATCTTTTCTTCGTTTTTACTGGTATCACGCTCCAATTTTTCTGGGAACAACATGTATCTTTGCCTGCACTTTTTCAATTGCGTCGAACACTGGTAAGTGTTTCAATTGCGGTGGCGATGGGCATTTTGCGAGAGAGTGTCCTTCTGCCCATAATGGGTCAGCAACTCAAACGGGCAATGCAGCTTCTACGTCTGCGGCACCACGATATTGGACTCCACGTCGTCAACCGGAGGACAATGAAGAACGGGAGTTTTTGCGGCAGTTAATTAACGAGAAAAAGGAGGAACAGGTGCGTAGAAGGGAATTGGAAGACAAGATGAAGATGGATGAAATAATTAGGCGGGAGATTGAGAGAAATTCGAGAGCACTGGAGGCACGGGTGATGTCCAAAATAGGGCGGTAGTATTTAGTAGCTCGCGACGAGGCTCGGGTGGAGGAGTCCCGTGCTCTGTTTTTTATGACTCCTCGTAGTGCGCCTCGTGATAAGGTGATGGTGGAGGAATATGCAGATAAAGGCATTGAGGACATCGAAGATGAGATCGCAAAACTGTCTGAGATTCGAGAGAAGAAGTGTAAGGCTAAGACACCTGCCGGAGGTGATGCTAGGATACGTTTTGCCAACCGGTTTTTGGTAGAAAGGGGGTGGTGGATGATGGACCAGACCATGTGGAGTCCTCTAGAATGGGGGAAGAATATGGGCATACGAAGATCGTGGCTGGAAGTGGACCTGATGGGTTTCTAGCTTATATTTTGACGCAACGTCGTCTTCTTACTCCGAAAACCAAGGACCAGTTGAAGGCAATATGCCGCCAGGAGAACTTGACTTACACTACGAAGGGACCAACTATTGAGAGCATCATCGAGGCGAGGGTGAAAGTTGCTTATGAGGGTTTTGTGTTTACTCCATCCCCGACGACTCCAGAGGAGGGATCTCCTTCTGATTGACTTTCCCGTGTTACTCGTTATCGACTTTGGTTTAATCTTATCGAGTGTATGTCTCTTAGAGCTCCTGCGTGGGTATCAGGTGCACCAGCTAAGCTCCGTATGTTGTATGAAGTTTGCGCTACCTTATGTCTTACTGCTCTCACTTTGTTGGGTGAAATTGTTTGGCTTCGTAAGTTCATTTCTCTGCGTTTGTCAGTAGACTGGGATGACAGGGCTTCTGGGCCAGTGGTTTATCTCCTCGCTTCCCCATGGTCTCGTGCACAATATATAGGCTGTTCTGTCCGGTATTTATGTCTGATGGGCAGAACATGTCAGAACTGTCAAATACCAGGGAGTAGGAATAACTCCTAAGCTTTATATGTGGCTGAGGACTTTTGGAGTTTGACATTATATTGTTGTGCCTTTGGTTAATGGAGTGGTTACGGTGGAAGCTATAAAGAAGATTCTTATTAAGAATTTTTTCCCACTGTTGAATTACAGAAAGAAGTTGAAGGGGCAGACCTCCTGATCGCCCATGTAGAGCTAAGCGGTTGGGTACATGCCATGTTGAGGTAGTTTGTGGTATAATCAGGTTCAGACGCCTTGGTGAACAATGGCAGGATAGTCTCTTGTCGATTTTGCGAAGAGCTGTTTTGGATGGGTCTAAGGGTTTTCCGGTAGCGATTCATCCGGGTAATCGGTGGGCGGATACTTGGTCAGTTGTTCGGCATTTCTTTGGTTGTACTACTGTTTTTTGTGCGGGTAGCGCTTTCTCTCTGAGGGATCTGAAGGAGGAACTACAACTGGGGGGGATCTGGCATTTTGGTCCGATAATCCTTACCCATAATGGTAGAGCTATAGGGAAGGACCACCTAGCCCTTTTGCTATGTCAACCTTGGCGGCGACGTCTTTTGAAGTTTAAGTTAGTCAATTTTTTGGTTAGATGGTATCGGTATGTCCGTTCCATCGTATGACTAAAGTAGATGGTGGTATCTCTTGTTCGTGTCTATTTGAGCCTGCTTGGGGAAGATCTGGTTCCATGTCATGACCCGTATTGGTGACATCCCGGGTATTCCACAGTTTCTCTGGAATTCGAGGAACGTTCCCCGAATCAACCCTGCATATGGTGTGTTGGAGCTTGGTTGGCAGCTCGTAGATGTTTGTAGTTACCTGCGTTCAGCCTTGGTGTTGGATCGGCATATGCTTTTGCAATGTTGGGATGACGAGGGTGTAGCATGTCCCGTGGAGGAGGAACGAGTGCTCTCTCATTGGTTTGGCCGACTGAGACGTTTTGTGTGCGCCCCTATTGACAAGAACACGTCAGATACATTGGTCCTCTGTCCGGAATGGTATATGCACTATCAGCAACTCATGTTCAATTGGAACCTATCCTTTGTGCCTGCGCAGATTGAACCCTCGGATGTTTTGACAGAAATGCGCCTGTTGTTTCACCGTTTGCATTTGGACAATCTCGGTAAGTGGGATAATGGTGGTCATTTTGGTAATGCCTATGTGTTACCCAAACACAAGGATCTTACCCGTATTGCGAGTGGCAGGGTTGCCCGTGCTCTGAATTGTCTGTTTTTCTCGCTACCTAGCAAAGCTAGTTTCAATTTGAGAGCAGTTAAGGAGTTAGTCCCGGGTATTAGCAAGATGGGCAACCGTTTCAGTAAATTGTCCAGTTATTGTGATCTACTTTCGGCTTCTTTTGATATCAAGGATATGTTCGTATCCCTTTCGCACTCTGACATTTTGTTGGCAGTAGATTGACTGGTCTCCTTTTTCGAAGTAAAAGGATGCACGGGGGTCAGAATTGCTAAGAAGAGCAAGAACGAGTGGTTGTCCTATGGTGGTGTGCGTGATGAGTGCTGGTTCGTTTCGCTGTCACATATCAGGCATATGGTACGTTTCAATTTACGATACACTTTCATATACTCAGCGGGTGTTTTGTTGGGGCAAGTGGTGGGTGTTCCAATGGGTAAGGCGTCCAACTGTCCCTTGGCATGCATACTATGTTTTTTTGCTGAATATAATTTATTGTGTTCTCTGGATAGTGACAGAGCTTTGTTAGATGGTTTTCGTATCGTTGACGATGTTACCATGTTTGTGGCAGTCAGACGAGTTTTCGGTTCTGAGCGATCGGAAACTATTCTGAGTACATTCATGCATTGCTATGGGTCTATTCTTAGGCTGGTGCGTACCGATAAGTCCAGTTTTTGTTGGACTTTTGCGGGAGTCACCATCTACAAGTATGGTGTCTCTTTTAGAACAGTAGTTGTTTTGAAGAATGGTGAAACTGTGTGGGATTTGGCAGACTTGAGCTTTGGGTGCTTTCAGGATTATACATCCTATTCCAGTAAGAAGGTCAAGATAGGGGTTATCTTGAGTACTTTGCATCGTGTCTTCCAACTTTCCTCGGATCCTTGGGGGCAGCATGAGTCCCTCTTGGTGGTTAAGAGAGAATTGCTTCGACGTGGATACCCGCACCGATTGGTGGTCGCAACCTTTCGGCGTTTTCGTGCGAAATTGGGAAGGACGGCGGTGGAAGTTGTCTCGGTCGTCTTTTGATGATTCTCCTTCTTTACTTTTATGGCCCGGTCATGGCCGTGTATTTTAGTTGGTCAAGGGTACGAGTCAAATTTGGGGCTTGGCTTGTTTGCCAAGCAGGCCCGTTGGCCCCCACAGCTGAGGAAGGGGGTTTTCGAACCCTCTTGATTGAGTTTTTTGCGTAGGTGATGCGCGACATTTTTTGGTTTGTCCTTTTGGCGACTGAGGTTTTTTTCTGTTTTTTTTCGACCATACTTTCTTTTTCAGGCCACCTTCGGTGCAGCTGCATGTTTCCGTTCGGGTCTGTTTAGTGTAGGCATTCTGCCTCAGTACCTACACCAGTTTTTGTACAGGATTCGGATTTGCCTTAGGTCAGCTCACTCTGGGACCTTTTGGCTCGGAATAGGGTCAGTTGCCAGTTCTGAGCAGCAGTTCGTGGGACACCTAACTGGGCTTCATGTTTCGAGATAGACGACTACTGAGGTATACACTCAGTATATGTAGAAGCTTCGTGACTTACTTCTTTCCAAGAATGTGCGCAAACGGTTGATGTGTGCGCTGAGGCGTCGTCTGCATCCTCCTCTCAGTGTGTTCGCGGTATGGATGCGTTGGTGTTCGGACAACTCGACATGGCCTTTAAGCTTGGCAAATCTGTTCGCCCTGGTGTACTCTCCTTGCAGCGTATTCCGTTTGACTTTGTTGTCTGAGCACACTGGAGAATCCGACATTGAGGGTTGGCTTGTTCTCTCGTGTGTTTGTTTGTGTGCTTTCTCGTTGCTCGGCAGACTGTGTTACAGGTACGGTGTGCTGCTACCAAGGTTGATCTTCATGTCGTACGATTGGCTTCATTTGCTGACAGTTGCTGTGACCTCTATGGCTGCTTCGATGGCTGAGAGCGAGACTGTCCTCTGTTCCGTTGTGAGAGGTTAAATCCTGGAGGTCTTCTTTGGTTTTCTAGCATGGCGGGTAGGTGTAGGGTAGGTATATATTGGGGCAAGGCATTGGTATGGCCTCAAGTTATTTGGGAGAACTTTCTTCGATTCGTCCTCCTAATGAGTCTATGTGCGGGATAGACAAAACGCGTCGAGGGTTGGCCGCGTGGGTTAGGTTTTTAATTGGATCTAAGAGTGTTGTTCTTCGTTTTTATCTCGGTGTGCGTAATGGAGCGGATTTTTATTGGTGTATCTATTTTGCTACCGTTCTCATGCTCAGCTTGTCTTGCTGAACAATCTTCCCTTTCCTTTCCTTTCCCTTTCATAGTTTTTTCTTGAAAAAAAAAAAAAACAGTTTTTATCTCAGGAAACTCAGTTTTTGAATTTTTTGAATTCGAAGACGAAGTCAAAAAATAAAATAAAAAATTGCGCAATTTAGATCTTAAAACGATCTACAACCTTTTGTTTTTGATTTTTTTTAAAAGAATTTGTTAGAGTCTAAAAACAATCCTGAAAGTCGCAGCCGCACCCAACCGCGGCCGGAGTCATGACGATCGTGATCACGACCGCCCTCTGAGGAGTCTGAGCTCAACCCCGCGGACACGTTTGCGGGTGTTTTGTATGGTGCATCCGGAGCCAATATTGAGCTCGGATGCACTTGAAAGTTGACCGTTTCGTTTTCCTTCAGTTTTGGGCTAGATGTGAGGCAATGGGGCTAGGAAATCGACCCCTACTGCAGTCCGAGTTACAACGGACTGCATGGGGAAGGGAAAACACATGTTTTAGATGCATCCGGAGCCAATATCGAACCTCGATGCACTTGAAAATTGAGCGCTTCATTTTCTTTTAATTTGGGGCAATTTGCGGGGCTGTGGGACAAGGGAAATGAACACAGTTGCAGTCCAAAAATTAGCGGATTGCATAAGGGTGCCTAGGCCAAGAGCGAATGAGTCATGACAAACCCAAAAGGCTAGAAAATAGTGACTTCGGCATGAGGCAAATAGAGACGGTAGACGGCAACCGCGAGATGAGGATCTTGCGACCGAGAATAATCGGCACAAATGAGGCACTTGAGGAGGGGATATTGGAACTGACAAAAACAAGGAAGACCCAAAATAAAAATGGGACGTCATCCTGGACGATGTCAATGACTAAATAAGTCTAAATAAAAATTGTCGAAAGATGGAACATGCGTCGGTGCGACTACC